TTCTATTTTATTTCTTTCATTTTTCTTAAGCGATTTAATCCGCCCTTAAAGTAAAACCTTTAAACTACAAAAATATTATGTAAAGCTTTCGAAAAAGGTTTATTCCTTTTTGATTTTCTTCTCATTTTTATCCTAATTTTTTTTTTTTGTTGTATTTTTTTATAGGTTTTTCTCCTTGATCTTCTTGATTTTTTATTCATTTCAATTTGAACTTGAAAGAAATGCAAAAAAAAAATAATAATAATAATAAATAGAAAAAGAAGAAGAACAGAAAAACAAGTAAAAAATAAAAATAAAATAAATGTAAAAATATGCGAGAAAATCCCATAATTCATAGATTTTTCGTACATGAAAAGAGGAAGAGAAGGCAAAAAAACAGCAACTAAACTGGGCAGAAATAAAATCAGGAAAAATACAACTCTCCGTTATTCTCTGTGCGTCTCATAAACAACAAAAACAAATCAACAAAAAAATTTGTGAAACAAAAATCAAAACAAAATGGTCATAAACAATGTTTTTTTTTTCTTGTTTTCTTGCAAATTTTCTTCTTTTTTTTCAAAAAGGATAAGCAAACATTTTCTCGTTGATTTTTTCATTCTTTCTTGTTACTTCTCTTTCTTTTTATTATTTTTTATTTTTTTTATATTCTTGTTATGTGTCCTTTCAAATTATTTTGTTATTTTGGTAAAATTTTTCATTTCATTTTCATTTTACGTGTTATTTTTTGTTGTGTGTTTGTTTTTTAATATTTTGTTTCTGTCGTCTCATTATCCTTTGGGAATAATAGAAAAAGGTAAAAAGCAATCAGTAAGGATAATAGGCTAATACAAACAGGATGTTGTTTAATAATTTTTTGTTTTTTTTTTTTGTAACCAAAAAAAAAAATTTTTATTTAGTTTTTCTTTTATTCTAAAAATATTTTGGATAATCCAAAATGAGGCAAGAAAGAAAATATTTTTATAAAATTTTCTTAGATCCTAAGAAACTATTATTATGAAAGGAATTAAGGGTGAAATAAATTTAAAAAAAAATTAAAACTAAAAGTAAAAGAAGAAGAAATTTTCATGATTTTTGAAGTGAAATGACTTTTTGTTTTGTGGTGTATTCTCTTAAACTCGTGGTTATATTAAAAGTGTGGATATGTCTTGGGTATTTTAGTGCTAAAATGCAATAACTTTGATATTAATTTGCATAAACCCCTACAGTTAGTAATTTTTATTCCGCATAAAGTGTTTCTTAAATTTTATTTTGTTTACTTGAATCCTCTTTCCTTTAGTAGCAAATTTCAAGCAATTTTAATTTAATTTTTAGTTTCAGTAATTTAATTCGCTAATTTTGAAATATTTTCCATTAAAATCTTAATAACTTTTTCTTATAAAAAATTACTGGAATAGTTATTAAGAAAAAAAAAAATAGTCAGTTGACTATAATAAATCAATATATGGTCATATTTACTCTGGAATCAGAATTACTACAAATATTAAATTCTTTACACCCTTGACGACATCCAATACACATTCATTTTAACTCAATATACTTGTTGGAAAATAACAATCATTAACTCCCCTTAAAATATGCAATTCACATAGAGCGAAATATCTATAAAATTAATTTTATTGCAATGAAAATAATCAATACCCCTGAAAATATGCAATATTTGAAGAATTTAATATTATTTATGTACACTTTATTAATTTATATCAGTGCTCAAGTATATAATATGTTCAAGTTACAAAAGATTTTTCTTCTAAAAAAAAATTTAGATTATCTACGGAATAACCTAAAATATTCTAGTAAATTTAGATATTTTTGCTTTTTGTGAAAATTTACACATAGCTTTTTTATCACAATTTATTTTAAGATTTCTCCTTTCTTTTTTCAACTGCCTATTATTTTCAACAATAAAAAATAAAACTAAAAAATTATTTGTCAAACTTGGTATAGGTAAATTTTTAGTCCTTAATAACCTATTTATAGCCAATTATGAGAAAAATAAAATGAGAGTAAATATTTTCTGCATTATGATTTTTATTATCTCGTTTCATTTATGATTTTTTTTAAAATATTAAATTTTATTATGCGTTATTGTCATTGTAATAAAAAAAGTCTTTGAAAAGTAAATAGTTTAGTTTTAATTTTATATTTTTGTTACAGAAAATTTTCCATATTTTCTTTTCATTTTAATTGAAATATGAAAATATAAGTAGTGACTTCAGAAATTTTTTATAGTTTTCAGCTTACAGAGTAAATTTTTCTCAAATTCTGAACCTTAATAGCTATTTTAATTCATATTTCTTACAGAGATTTTATATTTTTTTTTAAAAATTCTTCAAAAACTTTAATTTTCAAAAGATTTAAAATTTTAATAAAATAAATTGTAAATATTTTTTTTAAAATTATTTAATGATAATAAATTATTGAGTGGGGACTGTACTCAATCATATTCTATAAATGTGAATCTTTGAACATATAAGCTGTATATTTACACACTCGTATAAAAAACATAATTTGAATAACTTAATTTTCATTTACATTCTTTATAATATTTTAACGATAAATTTCTAATATCGCAATTATTTTAATAGTTCTCATAATTTCATTTATTTAATAACTTATTCCATCATATTTTACTTAAAAATATTCATCAGGACATAATCATATTCCCAGACTTCATACACATACTGCAACGCTTATTAACGAAAATCTCATACTATGAATATCCTTTTTAAAAACGAAACTGATAAAAAATTAAAAAATATATAACAAAGCTAATATTTATTTAATAATCATAAAGTTACCTTTTAATACACTTATATACACAATTTCCAATCACACAATATATATTCAAAAAAAAAAAATTATGATCAAAAATCGTTTTATCATGAAATTGTTAAAATAAAAAAGCAAAAATGTCTCAAATAAAAATCATATACAGTTTAACTACTAATATTTGCCATAAAGGGAACAAAAAACCCATAATAAGAAAATTTCCTTTAAAAAAACAAAAGAGAATAAAAGAAAATTTCGATCACGATATTTTTTTTTGCTTTTCTTCATATTTCAATTCAAAAGACGAATAAAAAAAAAGAAAGCAGCTAGAAAAATTTAAAGAGTAAAGCAAAGAAATATTTGAATTTGAAGAGAATAAAAAATATAACAGGAATAATAGCACAAGACACATATATACATATTCAGGATAAAACAGGATAATAAGAAATGCAAAGTGGTTGACTGGCTGGTTGATTGGTTGGTTGGTTATCGCTTTGATATATTATAAAGTCTAGAAAAGTATAACGAATGTAAAAAATGGGTAAAAAAATCAAAAAATTAGAATTCCTTTTTCCCTTTATCTCTTGTGTATTTTTCTTTTTCTTGTTTGAACATTTTCTACTTCAATAAATAAGCGATTTGCATCAGCGTTTTAATAGATAATTTTGCATATACTCGTAGTTATGATGTACATAATATAAAAAACCAATCTAACATATTAACATCGTGATCACATAAGATGTAAAATAAGAAGAGGAAATTAATTTGAATTTCTTTAGCATACCTTTGTGGAAATTCGTGATATTATCATATAGTACAGGTGTTTCCACAACTGAACGACTTACTTTTTTTGTAATAAATGTCATTCGGAATTATGTTAGTCAAAAATATTTGATAATGAATTAGAAATTCAATTCAATGCAATACTAACAACAGTTTTCGGTTTCGCTTTTATTTATGTAATAAAGGCTAAAATTCAGAAACAAATATTTGATCTTTTTTATAACTAAATAAGCGAATCTATAATAATACAAGGAAATTTTTAAAAATTTTGAAAATTTTTAGTAATAATATTCGTAATACCGTGTACAAATGTTTTACATGTACGTTTCAATTCTATATTGTGACACTACGATTGTTCATAATAATTCAAAAATGTTATGTTTAATCTGAATTCAACAATGTACGTCACATATAATTAAATTGTACGGAAAAATCGTAATCATCTCGTTCTAATATCGATAGATTTACGAAATATCGTAAATCTAGGCTTCAATATAATCTTTTTACGTTTTATCCAAAGGATGTCTGTACAACATGTGAAAATATTTTCAAAAATAACACAAGATTATATTCTGTTTTGTTTTTTCTTTAGTTTTTTATCAATTCGATAAATTTTTTATCATAAAAAAAAAAATGCATTCTTATTCAATCAATTTATACATGATATCCAATTGAATATTAAATTTTTTTTTTAAGGTGAAAATATGAATTGAGAAAAATCAATTTAAAAAATAACTGTATTATAGGGGGTTCTATTATGACAAGATCATTGGATTGTACAATATTTATTGTGATTACATGAATTAGCTTTTTTAAGAATTCAAGAATGTAAACTTCAAAATTAAATTGATTGCTTGTGAAAACTTAAATAATTTTCCATATATTAAATAATCAATCTTAGACAGGCTGTTATAAGTGCGAATTGATCATTAATTTTGGATTCCACCTTATATTATTAGTTTAATAATTACATTAAATGAAAAGAAGATCAATGTAAACTATATGAATAATTATGAATCCGTTCTATACTCTAAAATTTTCGAATTTCACATTTGAAATAATAAGAATTAAATAAATTTCGTTTATCAATTCTTTTCGTTTAACATTTTTTCAAATTTCCAGTGAATATTCCCATAATTTCAAATTACATCTTGTTACATAATAAATCTTTTCTTCCTTTAAATTGAATTCCTTGTAAGTTGAGCACGTATTTCTTATTCGAAAAAAAAATTACATTAACAATAGAATTCCTTCAAAATTACTTAAATATTTTAATGCACTTTATATCAAGGATATCCTTTATATATATATATATATATATATATATATATATATATATATATAGTATATGTACGATAAGAATAGAAACTATAAATGATGTAAATGCACATTATTACAATCTAAGTTAAAAAAAAAAAAAAAACTTTCTTTTTTACAATTTTTTTTAGATGAGCTCACGTGATGAACCTGAAAAAACTTTCAAAGTAGCTATGCCGGATAATAGTTATGCGACAGTTTATCTTCGTGATGCGATGTCAGTTGAAGAATTTTTGGCAAATGCATGTGCCAGAAAAAATTTAAATCCAATGGAACATTTTGTTAGAGTTAAAAAACGACGTGACATGGAGGACCACAATTATTTTGTACCACATCGAAATGATTTGATTGAAAATTATGTAAGTACAATTTTTTTTTATTATATTATTCTATTTTTAAATTATATATTTAAAATGTCAGAAAATAATAAAATTTCATAAGAGAGTATGTATATAAGTACAAATTTATATTCATGTACATATTTGTATATGTGAATAGAAGGTTAAATTTATGGTCTAAATTTAAAAAGAGAGAAAATATGAGAGAAAATTTTAAAGTTTTTTTCACCAACAGCATTTTGATAACAGTAACAGTTGACGGTAGATGGTTTACTGTTGACAGGTGACGGCTGATTGTTGACAAGTGACATGCGACAGATGACAGATGACAGGTGACATTTGACAGATAACAGGTGACAGTTGACAGGTGACAGTTGACAGGAGAAAATTGGCATTTGACATCTGACATTTGACAGTTGACATTTGACTTTTAATATTTTAAATTCCATTATCCCGATTCAAATTCAATCTCTAATTCAACTTTTTTTTCTTAAATATCTTCTATTTTTAAGCTTAATTATCCTCAATTATTAAATGTTAGATGCAGAACAAAATATTTTATATAATTAAATTATTTTTAAAGCATGTTATATATATAAATTTATTATTTACACAAAAAATTTCTGTCAAACATCAAGATTATTAAACAAAATTACTAAAAACATAGCTAGTATGAGAAATAACTTTAAATTATAAAATATTTCATTAAAGGAAAACCTATAGAAAATCCTTATTAAAAATGAAAAATTTATATCCTTGGAATTTTATATTAATAAGATGCAAACAACATGGCAAGGTTCGAGTTATTCTTCAAATGTGATTTAATTATATGTCAAAATAGATGACATCAAACCGTAATTTTTTGTATATAATCCCGTTATTGTTAATATTATTTAAAATAATCCTTATTTTCTCAGTCAATTTGAAATTTTTGTTAACATTTTTTTTAAATTCTTTCCTATTTTCTCTTTAAGCCTACTAAATTATCCTTACCATATTTATTACTTTATTTCCACCTCAGCTCAACTCAACAATATTTTCGATTTAATAATCCTTATCGTACTCTATAATAACAAAAATTCAAATCACCAAGAAAAATCACCAACAAAAACGAAATAAATAAATTAATGAGAAAAAAGGATTTTTCTCTTAATAATTTTAGTTTCTCATTTTTTCTCTATAAAATGCTTATTATTGTAACCCAAAAATTTTTTTTATATAAGTAATAAGTAATATAATCGTTATAACAGTAACACACATAACAGTATTAACAACAAATGTAAAAACCAAAGTAAAATATAGCCAAAAAATTTAGATTTTCTGATTTTCACCCTTCATCCTGAAAAAAAAAACACAAACTAAAACAACAAGAAAAAATTAAGTTATAAATAAATCAAATAATTTTATTTCTAATATTAAGGTATAAAAAACCTAAAAACCAACACTTAAATCCACACCACTTAATTTATCCTTATCAAAAAAAAAGGAGTTATACAAGAAAAATAACTATAAAAAAACTATAAAAACAAAAACACAAATTTTCAAAATTGGATCTAAAAACCTTTCCCTCTTAATCCTTTATCCTTTATATTGTTATTATTATTATTACCGAAAAATCAACCTACACCCTCTTTATAACATAATTTTATTATTAATTTACAAATACACACATACATAATACAAATATTTATATAATTTAAATATTTAAGAGATTTTTGTCTATATTTGCATACATGAATTTAAAAATAGAATTGCTTATTAAAAGAGAAAGAACCAGAATAACAACAACTAGAAGAAGCAATAATAAAATTATGGATTATAATTTTAAAAGTTTAAATTTTTTTTTTTGTAATTTCGAACTCATAATATTGCGAACAACTCATTATTTTGAAAGAAAGAAAACTTAATTTCATACAGTAGTTATGAGCTGCTTTGAACAGGAACGATAATTTGCTGGGTGCACGATGATCACAACCCAAATATTGATCGTCAACCTTGAAAATTCTTGTTATTAAATATTTTTGCATTGAAGAAAATTTAATCACAAATGTTTTATTAATTAATTTGGTTAGTATGTGGCTTAATATAAGCAAGACGACACTTTATCTAATACAAATATGCTGTTTTGGTACCAATTTCTGCCAGACATCGCTTTTCATTATGATTTCTGATACCAATATACTTTCATATTTTTGGCAACATATTAGCCAAATTACATAAGAATTTTTCTGCCTTTTCTTATAATATTATTTTGGAAAATTTTAGAGTTAGTACAAAATATATTCCCTTTTATCCGACAGTGGGTAATCATACAATATTAATAATAACAATAACAACAATAATGATAATAACAGCATATAAACACAAGCAAAAATATAAGATAAAAATAAATGTCCTATGTAAACATAAAAAACAAGTAAACTTATCTTCACCACATATTTTATAAACACAAAAATAATAGACAGCTATGTAAAAAAAAAGTAATATAAAGGATTTTGTAAAAGTTGGTAATTTTATAATTCAAAAATTTTCTATTTTTACATTTTTTTTATGTAAGGAGTGTGTAATCAATTTTAATATTTTAATATTGAAGAAAAATTTATATTGTAGGTAATAAAAGATTATGGAAAAAGGTTATTATCAAATACAAAATAGTGTTCAGATTTAAATTGCTTATATGCAAGGCATATTGGCAATAATTTTTCATTTAATAAAGACTAAATTAAAGATGTGTTAATAATATTCAGTCAATTTATCAAAGAGTCATTATTATTGTATAAAAATTTTTATTATTTAAGTTTTTCAACCTTATTTTCAATGAATTATTATAATTTTTGTATCACTTTTGAAGCCTCTTAAAAAATCTTGAAGTAACTCATACTCATAATAAATATACATGCAATAAAAATCATCTTACTGGAAACATTTCCTGTTTTAATAGTAATTCGTTGAATGCATTAAAATTTCTTTGTTTTATTCAGTATTTTTAACACTATTTTCAATTAAAATTTGATTCCATTGCTTCATTTTTTTTCCACATTCTTAATAAATTTTATTCCATAATGATTATTCATAGAAAATTATAAGTGGAGTTTCAAATAATAATTAATGAAAAGATAAGAATACATACCTTAAAATATATTCAATAATTAAAACATAATTTCTTCAATAATTTCAAAATTGATTGAGATACATATAACAAATTTTTACAGTAGATAGTCTATACTATTTAGAATTTGAATTTTGAATAAACTCACAAAGTACAAAAATTAACTTAGACGATTTTATTACAGACAATTATAAAATGAGAAGAAAATTAATATTTTCATATAAATTCTTGCTTATATTTTCAAATAATTTACTAATATTTGTTAAATTGAAAATTATTTAAATAAAAGAGTTCAATTAATCTATTAATAAATTTTTGTCTACAACTTCATAATTAATTATGCTACGAGAATCAAATTTCGCCAGAACATACATTGAATTATGTAGAAATCAAATTTTAAATAAACTGAAAAAGTACAAAATTTGACTTAAGCCGTTTTTGATTTTAGCCTCAAAACTTTAAGTTCAAATGCAAATCATTTGGACTATTATGATAAACTCAAAAAATTTTAATTTTGACCTAGTCAGTTTTTAAATTTCAAACACAAAATTCAATAAAAATAGACAATATTATTTTTACATGTGCTATTCCCACAAAATTCTAGAATATACGCCAATATTATATTCATTCTAATATTAATTAAAATTCTCTACAATCTAATAAATCCCTTTTACACAAAATTAGCATTTACTTGCATATAAAAATTTCATCATTCCTTAAAAATATCAGATTAAATATTCTTTCAAAATTATCCTTTTAAAAATTCTTATTTAAAAAATTGTTTTTTGAACATTATTATATACACCCACATGAAATGTGTATTAAGATGAATCTAATATAAAAGTTTTCTTAAAAAATTTCCATAACTCATTGACATACTCTAAGAGTAACACAAAAAACAAAATGAATACTCCAACTATAAATCTCCCTCTTCATCTTATTACTTCATTATAATATTTGTTAACTTCTTCATAAGGGTTATAAATTGCATACTATACTCGTAAAATCATGCATTAAATCCTACCAAATATTTTATTGTTTTTGTAAATCTTTTAGAGCAAACTACTTCTTCTTTTAATGCTCGTATACTATCATAAATTGTTCCAAATTTTTCCTCTATTTTTTACCATTTTTTACCCATTTAATATTAAGAAAGACAAAAAAGAGCCTTGAATTTATTCCTTTGATATACTAAAAATAAAACGACAATAAAATAGTAGTAGAATGAGAAGAGGAAAAAGAAGAAGAACATTTCAAAAATAACAATTCTAATTATGTTTCTGTGTTAATAATCCCATAAAAATTGAATCACAAAGCTAATAATTTTAAAAATTAGTTTTCCATTAAAGAAACATTTCTAATTTTCATTGTGTACCTTTCTACTATGTACAAACATATGCACTGTATACAACTATAGTACAACTACTATTATTGTTATATGCAACCATACCCCATAATAATAATAACTGTTTTCAATTACTACTTTAAATTCAGAAAAATTTTCTTTTCATTTTTTGTAGTTCTTTGTTTGTATAATGCTTTTGTTTTAAGTATAAAATGCAAAGAAATTTTGCTTTACTACTCTTACTATACTACGTACTTTTTATTCCTTTTTTACTCGTTTAATATATGAAAAATCACAATTATAAAGAAAATAAAAAAAGGATAAGAATTTTTAAACGTTTATAGGATTTTTTTTTGTTTTATATATGTACTAAGTACATGTAAATCCAATATATACAAACATGTTATAGTAAGTAAGAATTCTTTGATTATAATTTAATCAAGGATTTGCTTTTTAAACTCCATAGCTTAAAAAATATCACAAAAAAAAGCAAAAAATTTCATTGTAGCTCTACTCTATTTTCTATTTTTTTTTTCTGCTGCATCCTTGTTATTTGTTTGTTTTCTA